TTGATCTGCCCGCTTCATCAGTGAGAGAAAGTTGGTATTAATCTGCCCCAATAAGTTGGGCGAATGCATTCTGATTTCTTGGGATAGATCTGCCCACTTCATCAATGAGAGAAAGTGAGTATTAATCTGCCCCAATAAGTGGGRCGAACACATTYTSATTTYTTGGGCTTGATCCGCCCGCTTCATCTGCGTGAAGAAGCGAGCATTAATCTGCCCCTATGAGAGGGACGATTACATTCCGACTTCCGGGGTCTGGTCTACCGTTACATTGGTGAGCAGCAGCTCTGCGGCTTGTATGGCTTTTTATTCCTCCTCGTAATATTAGCGTCGAATCTTTCCGCACACACGCACGCCCGCACACGCGCAGAGCGTGGACCGTGAGGAAAAAAAGAGGGGGAAAGGCGCAGAGAGAGAAAGTGGTAATAGGGAGATGTGTGCGACTGAGAGAGGGTAGAGACTCGTGGAAAGGGGGAAAGAGAGCGTAGCGGGAGAGAAGAAACAGTGCAGTAAGAGGGAAAGGGCGAGGGAGACAGTGTGAGAGGTGTTCACGACAGAGTAGCCTGTCAGGGCGATGCTAGCGAGAACAACAACCATCAGTGCGATGATTCATGTGACATGATCGCTCACTTGACTACGCTGGTAATGAAACAGTACTCTTCAGGAGATCCAACGAGTGAACCAGCCGCTGGCTGAGACGGCATACTTCAATGAACAACTAGTCGAGCATTTCAGTTGATGGCAGGTCAGCTACTTCTCATCCGCGGAGAGGTCAATCGAGGGTGATATCGACCACTGCGACAGATCAGTAGACTAAGACTGTTGTTGATCCGAACATCCGGAAATTCCACTATTAGTGGGACCACCAGCACTTGCTAAATAAACAATCAGGCATTCGTCACCGAACGAGTCTAAAAGGATGTAGGAGGTAAGACTCGAGAGAGATCCGGGATGGTTCATCTAGGTACTCTCGTGAAACTTTGATTGGAGGGAATGGGATGGTATGAATAACAGTTGTTAGCTTATATATTTCATTTATTGTCAAATCCCTGCAGCTATCTAGCGGGGGCGACGGAACGAGCTTGCTGACGGATAGAAGCAACAGGGGNATGGTATGAATAACGGTTGTTAGCTTATATATTTCATTTATTGTCAAATCCCTGCAGCTATCTAGCGGGGGCGACGGAACGAGCTTGCTGACGGACAGAAGCAACAGGGGGAAAACTCTAAGAAAGAGAATGACCAGACGGGATAATGTGAGCCCGGGCACGAGCTAGCAGCCTGACTGTGAACATACGACATTTTTTTTTTATTATTATCATTTTGTTTTAATTTACGAAAGTCACTACTGTGTGAATTTTGTGGTTTAACAGCAGGTTGTTAAAGGAACGACTCGGAATGAGATCACTGATTTACCCAGTCGACCGTGAAAGTCACCGACGTGCAAATATTTGTGTTTTATCAGTTATTTGTTAATACTCGTTATTTTCTGAGTTTGGTGAATTACTGGTTGATTGCAAAAAATTCTGCTGCATGAACTTGGCGATTTACTGGCTGGTGATTGAAATTTAGTGTTATGTGAACCTGTAAAGATCACCAAAAGAGAGAGAAAAAGAAACGGGGCGCGCAGCGCCTGAGCCTTACTCCGAACCCAGCTACTAGCTGAGTACCTCAGATGCGGGCGTGGTGAGTGACAGGCACCGTCTGCCCCTGGCTTCAGCAGGCAGCTGGGACCCCTCCCCGGGTTTCCCCACACCCTAACCAACGTGTGTGCACCAGTTGGTGCCTCGTTTGCTCCAACTGGTGCACAGTTTGTACCAGGCAGGAACACACTTCGTGTACCACATGATGTTTAACACAACCTTCATCATGCACCAACTGCTACACACACCTTGCTCCAGTTGGTGCCACAATTTGCACTAGCGAGGCCCAAAATATCCACGAAGTCCATCAACGATGGACCATGAAACAAAAACATGTCGCTTTTGTTCATTTGCTTTACCCGGTGAAGTCGCAGTCTGTGCGACTTCTTTCAAGTTGCTCCTACATCAGCTGATACGCGGACCTTACTCTGGCTTGTGCCACACTTGGCACCATGTAGGACCAACGTTTGTACCATGTCCATCAATGGTGGACCAAAGCACAAACACATCATATTTTCTTCATTTGCTTTACTTGGTAGGGTCGCAATTTATGAACTAGGTTGGGTCGCTCATGTTGCAAGGTCCCACTACCGTCTTCACCCTCATAGAATGCCCGGTTATTCTCGTTGTATGTGGACTGAAAAATTATTCAAATGCAACTATAATAACTGGGCCTTCTATTTCGGTGAGGACGGTAGCAAAGACATTTGGATGAACCACCTAAATTAGAATGCATTTATGCAGAGATGTAAAAAAACAGGTGGTACACCTCTTCACAAAAACATGTAGATTCAGGTGCTAAATTCAATCCTTTATGCTAATGGGACCTTTTTCATGGTGGGTTGAGTTGCTATGTGAACTGTAAGTCGTCAATAAAATCAAACATAAGACAATCAATCAATCTAGGAAAAAAAAAAGGGCAAAAAAAAAAAAAAAAATAAGAATATCAATTCAAATCGAAGACATATAATCATCAAATCGTTTATTGGAAATCTCATTACACAATGAGGGTATTTTCCCCACGTGAAAAAATATAACGCAGACGAATGTCATAGCCCTAACGGTGGTGCAACTGCACCAACGAGCCTACCTTCTTCACCTGGAAAAAACATACAGTCATTATTATTGAATTTGGACCACCTTCTAATCTACATACCGTTATAATGACTATACGGTTTATGTGGGTGAAAAAAAATAGCTCAGTTAATATACCCACGAATTATTGAATTACAAACGTTTTAAAACCTTGATATACGTGAATGAATGGAATGAAGAATTCTTTTTTTTTTTTATAAAAAGGGCATCGGCCTTGAGATATCAACATGAAACTGACCGCAAGAGGTAATTCAAGAATTTGGTTCACCTACTTAGTCTCATCTAGGTTCGAACTCAGATCTACATATTCTATCACACTCTGGTGTTGAAGCTGATAAAATCCCTGCCAATAGCGCCTTAGTCAACCAATTTTTTTATTTATTTTTTTAAGACCACCAGTACCTTACGAAGCACTTCTCCGAACCTTTTTTTTTTTGAGCTACCAAACCGCTTTATTGCGGTAGGAGGAAGCCGGAGAAAAGCAGTCCTATAACGGGCTACCGGTCCTTAGAATGTCGACGGACTGATACTTCTACTGAGAGGTTTTTTGTTTTTATTTTTTTTCCCTTCATCTTTGTTTTTATTTTTTTTCCCTATTTTTTTATGTCTCTTTTTGATGCCCTGAGTGAAGTCATCCTCGAGAAAGTGTAAAAGGAGGAAGGAAACAAAAGGAAAAAAAAACCAAAAACATTCAAGACAAGGATTGGGTCGTGATCGTGGTAAGACACATTCGGGGATGCAATCGAGTGAGTATGCCCTCAGTCAGGGCCATCCCTTTGAACGAACGGCTTACGATCTGCCTTGCTGGCAGAACCCAAAAGGAAAAAAATAAAAAATAAAATTTTTTGTGCCACCACTAACAAAGAGAGTTTTGCTATATGTCATATTTAAATAAATATATTTTATAGATTTATCATAAAACAATACAGGAAAAATTAAGCAGGCATCACAAAAATGAGTTATAATTGTAAGATGGGCCAACATAAAGTTTCAAATTGCAGTTTAGGCTACGTATAAACCCAACTTTCTGGCGACGTCGGGTGCCCAAATGACAAGTGCAAACTATCTTTTGGCCCATGGTGCAATTAAAACTCGTTTGTTTTATTATGTTGAAGTTACCCCAACAATATATATACCCAACAGTCGCTCAAGCGGTACACTCATTAACTGTTTAAATATACAACGAAGTTCAAATCCGGATCGGCACGTGCAACCATGAACTATTGAAACCTAAAAGAAGTAATCGCCCGTCGGCGCGGACCATGATTGTAGTTGGGAAGTTGGCAACATTAAACCACCAGTACTTGGCCCAACTATCGGCCGTGGGCCTTCCCCGTTAACGCGCCAGCATCTTCGGGGGTCGGTCAAGGGAAGGCGTAGTCGGTGCTTGAAGGCCGGGCCCCACTTATGTCGACGTGACACAACAAAGAGAAAATGAAAAAAGAAAGGGAAAAAAAATGAGATACGAAAACACTAAAAAAATAAAGAAAATGAATGGCAAAACACAAAAAGATGCGCTGGAAGGACGGAGCGCGCGCGCGAGAGAGAGAGTTTTGAAAAGAGGAGTGTACTTTCCCACTTTCGCGGGAAGATACACTCTCTTTTTCAGAGAAAGAGAGAGCGAGGGCCGACGACCTGCACGGAGGGCCGCAACAAACTCGCCGCCCCTCTCTCTCTCTCACACACGCACACACACACATACACAGAGTCCACTATCGGTTAATGAAAGGCAAAAAATTCAGGGTTTTTCGCCGCATTGCTACAAACAATGTTGTCGAAACGATAGCGAAAAAACTACGCAGGGTCATAATACAAACATAAAAAAAAAAAACAAGCAAATAAATAAATAAACTCAAGAGCACTATAAAACCCTATTCGGAGTAGCTTTCGGAGTTCGCCGAATCTTTCCTTCAGTCCGGTGTTTTTGCTAAGTTTTTCGTTACTGGTCCAAATACGGTGAAATTGAATACAAATGTACCCTAAAGCACATACATGTCAAGCAAAAAAAAAAAACAAGAAAAAAGTAAAAATTCAGGGTGTTTCGGTGAAGAATTCGCTAATTTTGGGCCTTCCATTAACCGCTTCTCACAGACTCATAGGCGTTTCCAGTGTCAATTGCGAATGCATCTTCCCGCGAAAGCAGGAAGTTTCATTCCCATTTCACAATAGACAATGGAAACAGCTGCGCATGCGTGTGTGTGTGTGTGTGTGTGTGTGTGTGTGTGTGT